TGTGGTTTATTGAAAGGAACAGTCAATGCTTAAAATTTTCTTTTTTCTTGACCAGTTTTGCATGCTTGAATCTGGTAATCAGAATGACTGATCTGGAAACAACAATATGCATATAAGAACCATTGCTGAACTTCTACCATCTTGTATAGTGAAGCTCTGCATCATTTCCAAGGTTTTTTTTTATTACTTGTTACTGTCTTTGATGGTTTGATCAATCTTACATTCTTACATCTGGTGGACTGAGCAACTTTGTTGAAGATAACAGTAGTAATGTAGCAACCATTGTTAATTCCTATCATTTTGTTTTGAGGGCATGTATCATTTTTGTTTGAGTTTTGGTGTTGTTTTGACTTTGTCTTCATTGTTTTGTTAGTTTTTTTTACTTTTAAAAATAAAACGTGGCTATTAGATAATTTAAAACTACGTGTAGGGTCAAATTCTATTTCTGCTGGACAATACAACAGTCTCTTCCTCATATAATTTCAGTCTAAACTCCATGTTGACACTGCCCCAGGGTCAACCTCATGAAACCTCTAAAGTACCCAGATCCAATATTACTGAATTACTCCAGTATATTTCTGTCCTGTTGGAGTGACCGTATAGATACATGCGTGATGCCAGAATCAGGATGTGCCTTGACTTTTAAGTCCCAAAAATAACTTAGATATTCTCATTAGGATTCAATCAAATCATTTAGATAACGGGTAGCACAAGGCTAAATACTTTTGAACAGAATCTCTTTGTGGTTCTGGTAAAGACTTAACTTTTTAATAATTAGTAGACTTCAATTTACCCTCCTTGGCAGATTTTATAGTCATGTGATCTGCATCTATATGAATATCTGAAGAGATAGTGCCCAGGTAGACCTCAAATCACCCAGCTCACAAGATACCTTTAGGTACTAGGGGTGGTGGTGCACACCTGTAATCCCAGCACTCAGGAGGCTGAGGCAGGAGGATCGTTGTGAGTTTGAGACTAGCCTGGGCTACAAAGTGAGCTCAAGGCCAGCCTGCACTGCATAGCGAGACTCTGTCTCAACAAGACAAAAAAACCCCAAAAAACAAAAAAACAAGATCCCTTTAGGTGTGTGGGCAGGTGGCAGTGGGGACTGGTGGGGCACGAGTACGGGACCCTGCTGGCTGTCTCTCCGCATTCGCAGACACACCCTTAAAAGGGCTGAGCGGTTAGGGCCCTTAGGAGCCATCTCTTGCTTTTCACGTGAGCAAGACCATGAGCAAGAATGGGGCAATGCTCAGGACCACTGTTGAGTGCATACACGAGGATACGTATGTGTGCGTGGACAGATACACACAGAAAAACTCACATGCCTTAAAATTCACCACTTAAAGATGTACAATACAGTTTTCGGCAGAGCTCTAAGGTTACATGATTATCAGCACTGTATAATTCCTGAATGTGTCTATTCTCTCAAAAAGCCCTCATGCTAGTTACTTCACATCCCTTCCTTCTCGCAACCTCTCCTAACAACTGATCTACTATTTTTCCTCTATGTAGCTATTCTGGGCATTTCATACGGACGTCATAATACAACATGTGGTCGGTCCTTCTGTCTGGTTTCTTTCACTTATGTGATGTTCATCCGTGTGGCATTGTGTGAGCTCGTCATTCCTCTTTATGTCGGATCATTTCATTGCATGGATAGACCGATTTTGGCTCAGGTATTCATTGTCGATGGCCATGTAGGCTGCTTCCACTCTTTGGCTATTATCAGTAATGTTCACTCTCGCCAGTAGCGTGGTAGAATCCATTCCTCTACATCTTCCTCAACACCGGTTATCTGACTTTGATTCTAGCCATTCTAGTGGGAGGTCATGTCTCACAGCGGTTTAGATTTGCGTCTGATGGCGAGCATCTTTTCGTGTGCTTATTGGCCATTTGTATGTTTTCTTTGGGAAAATTAAAATTCTTCCCATTCAAAGTCGTAGGCTGTTAGTAAGAAGTGGCTTGTATTTTTATGGTTGAATTGTAACCTGTTCAGTATATTCAGGTGAATACAATTTAGGTAAAGCACTTACCTCTCCAGGAAGACCAAAGGGTTGCAGTCAGCTTTATTTCTAATCCTTTTCTGGCACATACCAATTTTTGAAAAGCATCTTTTTTCACTGAATAGCTATAAACGAGGACCTATGACCATCGGTAATAAAGGTTGTTAATCCAGTCCCAAAGCCAGTGGAGGGAACTTAGAAATTCAAATGAACTCTCTCAAAAATCCTTGCTTTCCTGCACAGCGGCAGCTTCCTAGCCTAATCACTGCTGTGGTGGGGTGCTTGGCTGAACTCTTATTTAGGTATGTTCACATCTTTTTACTCAAAACACCAAACACAGAAGGTGGTACAAGAATTGTAGAGACCTGAAGGAAATGAGCAGTGCAGGATCAAATGATGCCTTAAAAGTTTGTTTCTATCTCAGTGTGGCAGCACAGGCCTATAATCAGCACTTTGGGAGGCTGAGGCAGGAGGATTTTGCATCTGAGCCCAGTCTGGGCAACTTAGTGATTTAATGAAAATTTGTCTCAAAAAGAAAAAAAAAAAGGTCTGGGGATGTATCTCAGTGCAGAAGTCCCAGTTTCAATCTTTAGTACTACCAATTAATAATGTCATGGTAATAATAATAATATAATATCTCCCGGTAAGGGCTGATAGTGAGCCTACCCACAGCACAGCCAGCAGACCTTCCTGATGCCAGGGCAGAGATTGCCAGCAGTGACTCCGGGGGAAGGAAAACGCTGCCCGTTTCCTCTCTGGCTTCTAGGACATTGTTTTGTGCCTCTCACCCTTCGTGTGGGTCAATGGGTTCCCAGGACTGGCTGGATTCGCTGCTGATGAAGTCGGTGCTTTCACTCCATTTGCTCTCCTTGCTGCCTAAAGTGTGGCCGTGTCGTGCTGACCACCAGGCTGGAGGCCAAGGCCCCCTCGGACGCTGCTCCCCACGGTGAGTTCGCAGCGGAGGTGCACTGCTGTCCCCGTGGGCTGGGCCCCCACGGCCTCCATTCATCAGCCATGGCTGTTTCTTTGAGCCAGGTCCTGTCAGCTGCCACCTTGTCCTGCAAAGCACTCGCTCTCAGTCTAGTGGAGCGGACAGACAACTCCCGAGCGTGCGGATCAGGCAGAGCAGGGAACAAAGCACCCCACCTCCTTGTGACCTTGGTGGCCTCCCCAGGGCGCGAGGCCAGGCGCAGGCAGGGAACTCAGCATCTCCCTGGTCCTTAGGGACACTTGCCAGTGGGGGAGGGAAGAGAAAAGGAAACTTTAGAGCCGCCCAGTGCCCTTTGGAAGCGGCGATTGGGTGGGCACCTCCAGGAGACCACCCGCTTGATGTCGGCTGAGGGTTCTGAGTCATGTTGGTGTGAAAAGAAAAGGAAAATCCAGGCCAACTCTCCTTGGGACAGGAGCAGGAAAAAACAACCAATCTCCACTTTTTCTTGCCTTTGATTTGATATTTATCAGGGGAAATCTTGTTTTCATTTTTGGAGCAAACATGTGTGACTTTGAACCGGGAACTCGCTCACCCCGCGTTCCGCCTGTGCAGCTTTGTTCCGTTTCCGAGCTGCTAGTTTTATGATTGTGTGAGAGGTGTTAGAGTTTCCGGCCTCTTCAAAGCGCAGAGGCTGCCTTCCCTACAACCCAGGGCAGCAAAGCGAGCTCTTTCTCGCCTGCCTGCCTGGTGGTTTCTTCTCTTAGGGAAAAAGCAGCTCCCAGATCAGGCTTGATTTTGCTCCTGCCCAACACTACAACCCTGCCTTCAAACGTACCTTGGTTCTGTGTTCACACTTCTGGGTCCCATGCAATCACAGCCCGCTGTGCCTGACTCCTGCTCCTGGAAGGAGCCTGTGGGCTCATAGGCTCTGGAGAGGCGCCTGTCCCTGCATCTCTGTGTTGCCTCAAGCTCCCCTCTCAGACATGCACTGTGGCCGCACTGGCTTTCAGAGTGGGAGGAAGGCCTTTGTCTCCCAAAGACTTACCCTCCAGGATCCAGCAAGAGATGTACCCCTTACTCCAGCAAGGAGGAAGTGCTGGGATGTCCTCTCTGGCCCTGTTAGGGTGCAGTGGCTGAAGATACAGCAGCATGAACAACACCCCTGGAAGACCCCAGAGATCAAATTGAGGCTGGGGCTCAGTTGAGATTATATTCCTCACAGGACCATCTTAAGTGAGAAAAAGTAGTGAAAGTTGGCTCCATTTATCAGTGGCCTGCAATAACCCTAGCACTAGCACTGCGTATGTGATTGAATCTCATTGACTCTGGCAGGTAGGCAGTAGTAGCCCGGTTTGACAAAGTAATGGAGGCCTGGGAAGGTTGAGGTATCTCCAGGGTCTGACAGCTACTGGCACCCAGAATTTGGTCTGCTAGATTTTGAAGCTCACATTGTCTTACTGCATTGGATTTCCTCTCCCTGGGATACACCGACTTGCAGGACGCCTCCCTGTCCCTATTCCACTGTGAGTAATCAAGAGTGGGCAGTGAGCCTATCTGCGAGTCCATCTCTGACTTTCAGATAATGGTTGTTGGCTGCCCTTTGCCCCAGAATTTCTTCGGTGGTGCCCAGCTAACGTACACTTTGCCCTTCATCTTGCTTGATGATCAGCCAGAAAATGCAGGCGTAACTCACTACTTTGTGGTTGTTTTGTTCTGTCTTCTCTTAATGTTTCCCTTGATATAGAAAGAGGTGTGTGTGTGTGTGTGTGTGTGTGTGTGTGTGTGTGTGTTCACATAGGGTCCCCAAAGTACCATGAATGGATAATGATGGTGCTGGACATACCTACCCTATGTTTTGGAGCCAAGTCTGCTCTGTGGAACTGGTGGGTTAAGGTCCTGAAGGTTTTCTAGGTGAGTATCAGGGATGTGGATTCTGTCTCCAGAGCTAACAGCCAAAATTCACCCCACATGGACATGGCAGGCTGCTACCTGATTATAGAATAGGATTATTCTACTGGAAATGCTGAGCAGATGACTTCTCAGCAAATAGAACTCCGGGAGGTTTAGCTTCAACCTAAGAACACTTAGGAGAGGGGCTTTGGGAAACCATCTCACCCCTTTGTAGGGTCTGAAACAAAAGGGTCAGGCTGGACATTCATAGTCTGAAGAGGCTGTTACCCCATGTGGAATCTAGTTCAATGCCTAGGTAGTGATGAACAAAGATGAGCCTTAGGGGATACAGCTCACCTTGGTCCCAAGAGATGAGAAGAGCAACATGGGGTCCCCTGGAGTTGGCAGCAGAGAAGAGAAGCCCGTATCCACCTATCTTGCATATCTTCTTTTTTTTTTTTTTTTTTGTCTTTTTGAGACAGAGTCTCCCTATGCAGTTCAGGCTGGCCTTGAGCTCACTTTGTAGCCCAGGCTGGTCTTGAACTCGCAATGATCCTCCTGCCTCAGCCTCCCGAGTGCTGGGATTACAGGCGTGCACCACCATACCCAGCCTTGCATATCTTCTTTTGTCCAAGGGTATGTGGGTAACATTTGAGTAGTGACAGACCAGGAAGATGGCATGGTCCCTGCCCTGGGCGTGGGAGGTGGGCTGGAGGAGAAAAGCTGAGTTATTATGACAAAAGCAAACAGAGGTTATCAGAGAAAAGGTGATATATGGGTACTAAACAGTAATGCCTCCTAGGAAGGCTGATTGGGAGGAAAGGCTGGTTCAATCTCAGGAAGTAGCCCCCCCGCCACCTCGCTCAGAGGCCTTTGCTCTCAGCGGCCCCCAGAGTTGAGGATTAGGTCCATTTTCCCCACAGTTCCTGCTTGTGGCTCCTTCCTATAAAGCCCTATCTTTGGACAAGTGTAGTGAATTCGGTGCATAATTGAACCTCAAATAAACTAGCCCCAAGAGAGCATTTATACTTTAAGTAGACATCATTGTCTGAAAAATGTTTCATACTTTGCTGGCTGTCCAAAACAGAAAACATCGTTTTTGTTGGATGATTTGTGGCTTCTATTGTTCTTTAACTAGCACACTGCAGTCTCTGAACTACTGAGACAGCCAAGGAGCTGGCGCCGGAAGAAAGATACATCTGTTGGTTCAGCTATGGACTGTAGATCCACTGCTACCATAGACAGAGTAAAGAAACATAGACTTAGGAACCTTTCTGCCAAGTGTAGCAAAAAAACTTTGTCTTAATATATAAAGAGGTCTTACATAAATAAAATCATCGATAATCTAGTGAAAATGAAGGAAGGAAATGAACACATCAGGGAAATGAGTGCAAACAGCTTTTGAATGCACAGAATGATGATGTGCAACCTCATTTATGATAAAAGAAAAACAGCAAGATACCATTTTCACCCTCCAGGTTTGAGATACCAAGAAGTTTGACAATGCATTGTGGAGAATGTAGGAAAATACACACACGTACATTTCTGGTAGGAATGTAAATTGGTATACCTCTTTTTTTTTTTTTTTTGAGACAGGGTCTCACTATGCAGTTCAGGTTGGCCTTGGACTTACTTTGTAGCCCAGGCTGGTTTCAAATTCGCAACAATCCTCCTGCCTCAGCCTCCTGAGCGCTGGCATTACGGGCATGTGCCACTATACCCAGCTGGTGTGACCTCTTGTATTTGTCAACATCAATCAAAACTAAAAATTGACATGCCTTGTTTCAGTGATCTATTAGCATGTAACAAACTACCCTAAAACTTAGTGGCTTATAATGGTCTTGCTCATTTTTAAAAAAATTTTTCTTTTTCTTTTTGTGTTTTTGAGACAGGGTCTCGCTCTGCAGTTCAGGCTAGGCTTGAGCTCACTTTGTAGCCTAGTCTGGTCTGGAACTCGCAACAATCCTCCTGCCTCAGCCTCCTGAGTGCTGGGATTACAGGCGTGTGCCACCATGTCAAGCTTTGCTCATGTTTTTGAGCGTCAGGAATTGAGGATGAACTAGGTGGATGGTTCTTCTTGGTCCGCCTGGCGTGAGCAGGAGTAGTTGCTGTAGGAGTCACTTCCAGGATGCCTGGACACTAACATGTCTGATACCTTGTGCTCTCCTCACTGTCTCCTGTTTCAGACAGCACTTCTGGGCATCTCCGTATGGCTTGTATTTCTCACCACATGATGATCTGCGAGTAGTGGCACAGGGTAGTTATAGAGGTAAAAAGCAGAAGCTGCCAGTCCGATTATGCTCAAAACTGTACCAAGATGACATCTGGTACATTCTATTGATGAACCAGTGACTGTCACCCCTGACTGCATACCCAAGGGAAGTACAGTCTTAGAGTGGCTGCAAAGACACATTATAAGAGACTTGGGTTAAATAATACAACTTATTTATGGATAGCATTGTGTGCCTTTTAAAAATTGACAGCTGGATGTACTGATATTAGAAGAGCTCCAAGATAAACAAATTTCAAATAAGAAAGAAGGGTGGGGAGCACCTCTAAAAAGACACCCAAGGATGGAGTCATTTCTCTAACCCTTTTACAATAAACCCATGGAAGCCATATTTGGAGCTTAACCCACATATGTGTTGGGCTGTTCAGGATACACAGAGAGAAAGAAGTTCCGCTGCTGCTTACTTCCTGTGTTCCTAGTTCTGCTCAAACTAAAGTCCAAACCCTACTCTCCAGCAAGCTGCATGGACATCCACACTCTGCAGTTCTTAACACTGCTCACGTCCACATGATAATGTGGCTTTTGGAACCAGATATCACGGGCTTAAATTTTTCCTGTACTCCTTATTAACTACTGAATCTTGACAAGATATTCCATCTCTCTAGGTCTCTGCTTTCTCACTTGTAAAATGGGGCCAAAGTGATAACTATTTCTGAGAAATAACAGGTTTTTAAAAACATCACTAGAGGGCCGGGGATTTAGCTCAGCGGCACAGCGCCAGCCTGGCAAGTGCAAGGTCGTGAATTTGATTCCCGGTACTGGAAAAAAAACAAAACAAAACAAAAAATAAAAATAAAAATATCACTAGAGCCCTTGGTACAGTGCCTAATACTACAGAAGTAGCCTTTAAGAGGCTGGGCGTGGTGGTGCATGCCTGTAATCCCAGCACTTGGGAGGCTGAGGCAGGAGGATCATTGCGAGTACAAGACCAGCCTGAACAGCGTAGCGAGACCTTGTCTCAAAAAGACCAAAAAAAAAAAAAGAAGTAGCCTTTAGAATTCCAACCACTGTCACATCACATCAACCAAATCCAACAAAGCAAATGTAGGCAACTGTTATGGTTTAGATCTAATATGTTCCCCCAAAGTCTCATACATTCAGAGGTGGGGGATCTGGTTGGAGGAGCCGGGTAGGGAGGCATGGCCTGGAAGGGTGTATTCTTGTCCCTGACTCCTGTCTTTTTGCTTGGCCTGCTGGCTACATGAAGTGAGCAGCTTTCCTCTACCATGCCCTTCCACCATGATGTTTATTTTTATTTTGTTTTATTTTTCTGTTTTGTTTTTTCTGGTACCGGGAATCGAACTCACGATTTTGCGCTTGCCAGGCAAGTGCTGTGCCCCTGAGCTAAATCCCCAGCCCCTACCATGATGTTTCTGTCTTGGAGCCATGGACTGAATCACCTAAACCATGAGCCAAATGCAACTTCCGCTCCTGTAAATGGTGGTTCCCAGCAATGGCAAAGCTAATGTAGCATCAAAGCAAGAATCCATGGGGCTTGGGGGCCTGTGGCTGCTTTGATACAGTGACTTCAGAGCAGATTAAAAGTGCCAAACCACATGGAGTAGAGGTCTACCACCTCCCTACCCATCAGCTGTGTTGATACAGGGTCTGGCCAGGACCAGCATGCTCTGGGGCTCTATCCCTGGCTAAGTCCATCTACCTACAGAGCTCTTCCAAAGACTCTCCCAAGCCTCAGAAAGTGCTGATATACTGAAAGGGTAAATATGTTTTTTTTTCCTGTTTTGGTTTGTTGAGATGGGTCTCACTATTTAACCCAGGCTGTCCCTGAACAATGGCAATCCTCCTGCCTTGGTCTCCTGAGTGCTGGAATTACAAGTGTGTGCCACCACACCCAGCTGTCTTTTTTTATAATAAAAAATATAAATATGTGCATGTTTCTGTCCCTTCTGTGCATCCCTCCACACCCAAAACCACTAGAGAAGACTCCAGTTTGCAATGCTTCCTTCCCCTTCTCCCTTCCAAGATCCTTTGGGTTAATGTAATGCAGAGATAAGAAGTGTCAATGTCCTCCAGCAGGAGGCCACCAGGAACACATGTGTAGTTGAACAAACTGGGCTCACTCTCGATGCAGCAAGGGAGAACACACACCGGGGGCAACACGGGACATCTTAGCAAGGTGTTAGAGAAGACTTTCAGGATTTGGGCTTCTGTTAGCGATTTTTAAGAGTTACAGAATTGGGACTTTACATTGGCTGCAGAGGAACCAAGAGTTGTAGCGAGCTCTTCCTGGTCCTCATCATGGCCCGGGAAGTTTATATTTGTGATCCCATGGAAAAGCTCTTGGAATCCTAGCGAGTTCATTCCGATCTAACACTTCCAGTGCAGCCCATGGCTCGAATAAAGACCTTAAGGCATATTTGAAGTTATGGGGAGTCAGGGGTTCCTAAGTCCAGCTAGGATCATGGCTAACTGAACAAAGGCCCTGATGCAGGGCTGAACCCAGGTTTTATTAATTCGAGAAGAAGGGAGTGGCTTGAGGATGAGCGACTGTGAGAATGGCGGGAAGTAGGCGAGTGCTGTGAGCTGGGCTGGGCAGGAGGCCTGAAATCAGCTCTGCAAATGCAGAGCGAAGGATATACAGAAAGAGTAATCTGCATAACGCAGTTGAGGTAGTATTTGATGTTTTGGGGTTGGTGCTTCAGCTCTGATGTGTGATCTTTTACGCCCTGGGAAGTCACAGCCTCTCATCTCGAGGCTTGATCCCAGCTGACAGCGTGGAGCGCAGCTCTCCATCCCGCCTGGCTCTCACTTTTTTGGGGAGCTATGGGGGCAGGCTAGCACTGAGCTGTCACCTTGCTTCAAAGACTACACATCCACTCCTCAGCTGGATCGATTTGTGTTGCTTAAAGCCAACTGAAGGGATAAGGAAAAGTCCTAGCCAGCTCTGAACAAATCGATACATGGAAATGGGGCCAGGTTTAGCCAAAATGGAGATAACTGCTCTTCTTTTTCTTATTGAGAGTCGTCCAGGTGTCCTCCACAAAGAGTATCAGGATCGGGTTAATAAATCTTATCCAGGAAGAACAACTAGAAGAAGGCTAAAGCTGCAGGAAAGTTACTCTGATGAACCAGGACGGAAACTGTGTGCTCACGTCTGTCACTTGGACAGTGTTTGTGTTTGTGTCTGTCAGACAAGGCCCCAGACTGCTCCCGCTCTCGTCATGACCCGTCATGGTTACAGAATGACCTCGAGTGGATGTCCTGGGAGAGGGCTGGCACAGCGCAGGAGAACACAAAGGTCTGGCAACACCAAAGTCTCACTGGCATTGCCAGGCCAGCTTCCAGACCCTGGGAGCTGCTTTCCTGTCTCGGACAAGAAGAGTCTAGGAGAGAGAATGGGTAGACAGGATCGCAGTTTTCTGGGGACTCAGGTAGAGATCTGATGTAATTAATACCCTAAGAAAAGTAGGAACAAGAGGGTTGAGTGGGTTCAGAAGAATCGCTATGGACAATGTTTCTCCATCACGGTTTCCAAGAAGCATAAAACTTAAGTGTTTTTTAAATGGTGTTTTGGTAGCTGGACTGTGTTCCTGCTATTCTGATACTATCCTGAGATGGCGTGGAAGAGGTTCTCAGCCTCTGTCTCAGAGTTGAGTCCCAGCTCCACCCGGAGCTGCAGCCCGAGTCAGGATGGAGTTCGAAGGAGCAGGCCTGTGTCTGGGAGGGCATCACGGCAGCAGACTCGCCTGCCTGCTGCCTCCGCACGCAGACCCGGAAAGACCGTCCTCAGGCCGCCAGTCCCCAGGAAAAGGCGGTCGCTGAGGACAGCAGCAGGGGCACCTGCGGGCTCAGCAAAGGCCCTTTCAGGAACGGGACATTTCTTGGCGGAGTGGGTGCGCACAGGGTAGTTCTGGTAGGCAGGAGCAGACGAAGCTTTGCGAAGGCCTTGAACACCAGCCCCGGCCCTGAGCGCAGCTGGGGCGAACACGGGCCCCTCCAGGAGGGCCTACGGGAGAAACGCAGGTGACGAGGGTCCAGGAGTCGGAAGAGCTTTGGAAACAGGGCTTCTGCAGAGTTCGCGGGCTGTGCCCTCGAGCCTGCCCGCGGACGGGACGGAGGGGCAGGCCGGGCGCGGTGCGCCCGCAGAGGAAAGGGCTCGGCCTTCTGCCTGCGAGCGGGCGTGGGGCTCAGGGCCCGGCGGGCCGGCTGGCCTGCGGCCAG